CAAAGCTGCCGACACTCGAGCACATAGCAGTCGATAGAGATCATGTTTCTATTGGAAGAGTTCTGAAGTCGAATCAATGTACAGTTTTCCTTTGTAGTAGCACGTGAGTGATCTTGAGGGTTGCCCCCAACTTCGAAGTGGAAGTGCGTGAGTAGTTTCAGACTTTCAGGAGTGAGAGTTGCTTGAGGCTCTGTCGCGAAGTTCTCCAGATATAATGTATGTTACCTGACACTTTTCGAGATCGGTGAGGACGTATGAGCCCTGATAGTATTCTCGAAAGGTGAGAGCAGCTGGGCTGTACTGCTGAGCAAACTCGTCATAATCAACCAAAAAATCACAATATATTTTGGAGTTCCCCCATGACTTCTACAGCTCCTTTGCTACTGTTTCCGAGCTCGTCGATCACCTCGTGAAGTCTTCTCGCCCAATCGTCCCTCAACGAGTTGAACTACCCGCCCATCAGCGTGACTTACCAAAAGCGGCCGTGGGACATCGGATCGCGAGCCGGAGACCATTTTGTGCCAGAGGCTCCCTCCGGTCGCGCAGTGAACGTTCGCTTAGTACTTCACCCTCGGCGATAACCGGAGGGGCCTCTGGGAAGGAGAATGGTAATGCATCGTCCAGTAAAGTTTGGCTTGCGCGACTCGCTTAGCGTGACTGAGTTTTCTTCTCTCCTCCTCCACGACCTGAGGCAGTCCTGTTGGCACCATGGCGCTAATTGTCAACGTTTCATGAATTATACCAAGAAGGCGGCTATGATTCTGCGGTCGAGCCGGAAGTAAACAGCTGCTGCGGGTAACTGCGCTGCCTCGACCGACGATCATATATAGGGGCCCATCTCACGAAATCCGACAGACATGCTCATTCCACCAGATTCATCAGAAGCTCAAAGCGATCGAGCAAAGAGAGAGACCGTACGTCCTTTAACTTCTGTGAGACATGAGCTGATGACAGCTCAGATTCAAGGGTCGGATGATAACGAGCCACCGTCGTACTATGCCTCTACTTCTGAATCAGTAGCGCCCTCCACTCCGCCCTCCGAATCATCAATCACATCATCCGTTCCATCGCCTGTTCCTCCCAAACCTGAGATACCACCCGACCCCGAAATCCCCGCTGTCAATCATCTAGTCATTGAGCGCACAAATAATAGTATACGAGGTACATGGCGTGTGGACACGACGAAGTCGATACCTCAGAATATGCTCCCGCCACTCGATGGAAAGGAGACTATTCGGCCGAATCTGAAATTGAAGAGCACGAATGGGGCTATCAATGCCAAAGTCGAGCTGGTGGCTGATGATCGACAGTCTAGAGCTGTGATCAAGGCACAGACGACGAATGGATCCGTTGAAATTCAACTGGTACGCCATTCGATTATTGGGTTAAAACTGTGCTGATGATGTATAGACCTCACCGAGGGGCCAGAAATGTTACATCGAGCTGTCGAGCACGAACGGAGCTGTATGGGCTTACATACCCCGTACTTTCGTCGGTCCCATCACTACGAAAAACAGCACGGGTTCTGTCAAGTTTGCTCCAGCCATGACACCGAACGTGGTCACTTTCTCAGAGACAGGTGGCGAAGGCTCGCATTTCATTGGAGATTACGAAGCTTGTGGGTATGGAAAAGGAGACTGGCATGGCGATGAATTGCACCTCAAGACTACTCACGGGTCGATCAAGCTTTTCTATGTTGGAGAGGGAGAGGCAGAACCCAGCGGCAAAGGAAAGGGGAGGGGGTTCTGGAGTGGGCTCTTCGGGTTGTGATATGTTTCGTCCAACGTCCTTCAAGTTCTCCGTTTGTCTCCGTTTTCTCCGCATCCTGTTGTATAATATTGTGTGGTATTGAGATATCTCTGGTAATGATACAGAGCAATATTGTTTCCAAGAGGAGACGCTGCATATCCAAGAGGATTAGATGGGCGGGTCGTAAGGTGGTTGCTTCTCAGAAAGAAGTGAATCCGAGCATCTGTGAGATTGGAGGTTTGCGATACAAAGTAGCTCGCGACGCAAAACCCGCGGGTGTAAACAAACATTGCTTTTCATGCTGTTTATGTTGTTCGATTACTGTATCTGATGATGGGATGAATGGGATGTATTGCTCAGTGCCAGTGGTACTCCTTGGCAAGGGGCATGCGTAATAAAATTTTTAGACATCACGTCGAAAAATTTATTTAAGGCCTCTGTGACCCTGTACCCTGAAATTGAAACTCCGAAAATAATAAATATATTGATTTAAGGCCTCCGACTGATTCCCAAGCTCCCCAACAGGCTTCAGTAGCTGTGTCCGTGGCCCAGAAACGTCCGCGAGGTGTTTGCCTTGAAGAGTGTTAGTTTGTCACAAGTAGTGACATTGATGTGACCATGACTCCGGAAGGTGACATAAGTGTGACAACGTGACCACCAGGGAGGCTGCTTGTCACGGCAACCACCACCACAACTTAAACCTGTTTCTCGCGAGCGTAGCATCATTCTGGGCATATATATCATTCGAATACACGCTCAGACGGTGTGTAGAATAATTTAAAAAGTATGTCGAAAATTTTATTTAAGGCCCTCGGGAACCCTGACCCTGACCACCCTGTGGGTAGCAAAGTCCGTGCGCAAAGTGACATCATTTCCGAAGGGGAATTCCGACACGGACATAACGCGATGTCCGTTCCGCGACCCCGGCTCAGCTCAAGACCTGGCCAGCTCAGCAGCCGAAGACAACTTCGCTGCGACAAGTCCGTTGTCTCTCGCTCGAAAGTATCGTAGTGATGTCAGGTTCAGTGGTGCTCATGTAGATTACCTTAAAAATGATACTCTTGCCACATTCCTATAAGTCTTTACTGGCTTATCTCGTCATCTGTTCAAGAACAGCAATACTTATACCAGCAGATCATGAATCCGAGAAAATCAGATAGGATGAGCCACTTTTCACTTGAATGCCTCAGTTGAATGATTTACATACATGTATTGAGATATCTACAATAAAGTACACAGAGATTTGAATGAATGACTGCCCGTAGCACATGCTATCACAAAAGAGAAAGAAAAAGGAAAGAAGAGAGCAGGACGCAGAAGATGGGGGGAAACGGGCCTATCTACGCGCGCACTGAGTGTCCACTGAGCCGCCATGTCATTCCTCCTCGTCCTATCCTCCAGCTCACGAGTCCCCCTGAGATTGTCGCGTGTCTCGACGCGTAATGACCACCTAGCACTGCGAGCCGCGAAAATTGAAGTCAGTCTCAGCATTTCTACATTCCGGGGCTCAGTACTTACTGATATCCTCATCTTACGATCTAAACACGAGATTTTGTTGTCTCGATCGAATTTGACGCGTTGGAAAAGAGCCCTGTGTCAGAGGGACGGACGAGAGGAGAGCGGGCGAGAGCAGGTGCGAGGGCAGCGGAGATCAAAAGTTAGCCGGATTACGGGACCGATATCGAGTTATGTCCGTTTCGGAACCTTTCGGAAATGATGTCACTCTTCGCACTGACCTTGCTACCCACCCTGTGGAACCCAAGGTCCGTGCACAATCGGCAACTCTCGGCATCTTCAGGTCGCGGCGCCAAGCAATCCTAACTCCGAAGAACCTCAAAAGCTCCCGAATATAGAGACTCCTTCCCACGCCACACGACTCTTCTTCCTTGACAGTTTGACAGCAATCGAGAGTGACATTTCTGGCATTTTCCCTGACTTTCGAACGAGGTTTGACGATTATATACCAGTACTAGTGGATGAGGCATAAAGATGTGACTGTAAAGTGCACCTTATTCAAGTGCCACCGCCATATGTACAGTTGCTTCTACCTGGAAATACATAACAAATCTGCGCCAAATAATGACTTGGTACTCGTATTCCTCATGAGCTCAAAAAAGAAAGACTCAGAGCAAGAAGAAGGAAGCAAATCATTTGTTTACGACGATCTCTGTTTGACATCTCAAGCGTCTACGGAAGTTATTGGCGATTGCAGGTAGTGTTCCAAGGTCCAGTTGCCGTGACCGGTGGCAACCGGCAGTCGCGACTGGACCGTGACCGGACCGCAGTTGCCGGTCGCCTAGGTTTCTGGAAAATCAGGCAACCGGCAACCGCAGTCATGACCGGTCATGACCGTGGTCGCAACCGAGGACCCTTAAGGGTCCCCAACCAGGGTACTCAGAGGGTATTTTGGGTCTCAAATGGGTGTTTATAGTGACATATCTGGTATATATTGGTCTCTATATGCATCTAACATATCATATGAGGTATATATACAGTCTATATAATATAATAATGATTAAAATATTGATAAAAGACCAGTTGTGACTGGAAAAACTGGCCATGACTGGTTGCGCAACTGGTCGCAGCCGTGACCGGTCGCCGGACCGCAACCGCAGTTGCAGTTGCCAGTCATGCAAAATTTTGGACGGCAACCGGACCGGCAGTTGCCAGTCGCACCCTCTGGGGGTCAAAAGTCCAGTCGCGACTGGACCTCAGAACACTAATTGCAGGGACTTTCATAGGGGGAAAAATTGAAAGCACGATTCAGGGACATTTATGAGCATGAGACCCTCTCATAACCTTCGTCTAGATATGTCCTGATATGATCCCAGCGTCACGAAAGTTATATGTCTTGAATTTCGCGGCGGACGGAATGGCAAGAGACGCTGCGGACTTATGGGAAGTTGAAGCCGTGTTGCGAACATGCCGAAGTTGCCGATTGTGCACGGACCTTGGGTTCCACCCTGTGTCTCGGCATTTGCCGATGCATGCCCCTTGCTCCTTGGTATAGTCAGTTTATGATGATTGCTCATTCAGAACAGCGAGAGGAGTGTTATGTAACAGAAAATGGCTAATGGGTCTGTGGGTACAATAAACAAACATTGAACTTGACATTGTTGACATTGTTTGATGAATTGTGATCGCTGAAGAGCGTGGGCTCTTCCGGAGGTCCTGCTACCATATATAGAGCTGTTCCTTGGAGTAGAAACACGTGGGAGCTATGATTGATATTTGTGGACCCCTGTTCATCTGGCGAAATAGCTCAGTTGGGAGAGCAGTAGACTGAAGTCCGAGTCCCGATTGAAGCCGGTGATTACGTAATCTAAAGGTCCCCGGTTCAACCCCGGGTTTCGCCATTTCTTTTACGTCTTTTGATCAGGATTTGAGCCCGCAAATTGATGGAGAAGTTGAGGGGGCCCTGAAAAATTTCTCCGAAGCTGAGCCCGAAATTTCGGAGTCCGCGTGGCGCGTCGTCGGAGAGCCGGATGCACGACGCGGCGTTTTGTTTGTACTTGTGTATATGGCCTCGACATTGCAATTCCAAGTTCGACTTGATTTGGTGCGAGTATTTTTTTATCGCTTTTGCCCGGAGGACAAGCAGGTGAGATGGGTGATGTTGTCTCTTGTTCGAGATTTTTCCAGAACGATTCTCAAGTCCTTCACTGTCATTCCTGCCGATCATCCTCGGCTTAGTGTCATGCTCAGTGCTCACTATTCTTCGAGTGCAATTACAATCATGGTGCTAGATACAACGGAGGGTTCATAAGATTGAAGACATGCTCTGACCTCAAGCGGACGTGCCCTTCTATTTCGCACACCCGTGCCAAGGTTCTGACACCGAGTTTGCGACATTGCTACTTTCAGCGTTAATTCCCTCCGGAGTATGAGCCTGAGGCAAGCTTAAATGCTCACTGTTGTTTCATTCCGTGAGTATATCAATATCGACCACTTCACGGGATTTAATCTAGCTTCAGACAAAGACGGGCATGATTGAGTTAGCGTGCCTTCAGCCGCATCATTGTCATTTTACCGAACAATGATGACAATCACAAGAAACAAGCGGTTCTGTCGTTGGCCGTGAAGGATCTTTACAATTTCTATGTTGTCTATAGTAGCGATACAAATCGAGAATTATACAAAAGGTTGTTCATACAGTGGACGGATACAATGTAAATGAGGGTTTGAGAAAGTCACAATCCGAACATGCTCCTGCGTCCTATCAAAGAATCGCCCAACATGGTACTTCGTCGACTCTTGCGCATCTCCTGATTTTCAGCGTCATAAAGTCCATAGATGCTATACGTCGGACTTCGATAATCAGGCTGGTTCGTCGCAAGAGCAAGCTGCGCTAAGGAAGGGATAGGAGGAGGGGAAGGGAGCCGCGGGGGCTTGGCGTCGACCTTCAGTCTCCTCATCGAAGATTCGCGCTCCAGGACCGTGCTTGGCAAAGATGGTGATTGTACAAGGTACGGGAGGCTGGGGCTTCCGATAGTTCGATCGTCATCGTCATATTCGGCGAACATCCATTTTCCAACCGGACTTAGACTCTCCATCGTAGGCGATGCAACTGTAAGACGCGGGGTCTCCGGCGCTTTATTGAGCATCGTGAAGCCGGGCATCGGTTCGTTGGAGTGATCGGCCCTAGTGGGAGAGGATGGGGCAATGGACGGAGAGTACATCGAAGGTGTGGGAGGCGAACTGAGCCCGAGGGCCGATGTGAGCGCTTTCGTTTCGCGTCTTCGTTGTTCTTCTTCGCTCCGTTGTGGCTTTCTGCCCGTGGGACGATAATTCGCGCTCTTGCTGACTTGTAGCGGAGGGACCGATGGTTGATGAGACATCGAAGTGCGGAGTTTACGTGTCGTGGATGCTGGCTTCAGGCTTGGCTTCATTAGACGTGGCATCGGTTCCACAGGTTGAACGGCATACGCGATCTACAAGACACCAGTCAATCATCGATCAATGGTTTTAGCAGATATTCGCACCTCTTTCTCGGACTGAGAGTAAGCAAACGATGGTTCCGTGCGACTTGCACCGATTCTCGTTCCTCTCCCTGCAAGATTGGGTCCAGAAGAACTGCTTCCAAGACTTCCTTTGCTCGATGACGTCGTGATCCCCTGACTCTCCGAATAGTTGCTTCCCTTGGACGACGACGGGGGAAGAGCTATCTTCTTTCCTTGTTGTGGATGATACTGCAAGGTCCCTTCACTGCCGGATGATGAGAACGGATCATCCGAATTGGTGACACGAAGTTGCGGGACGACTCTAGCTCCCATTTCGACTTTCATCAGCTCAGCCTGCCCTTGATCGAATGCAGCGTCCTGATGTATAGTGAGGAAATCGGGGAGAACGACTGCCTGTGGCTTCGAAATCTGCAGTGGCAGTTTCGGAGACGAATGCCAAGGAGCGAAGGTAGATTTTTGCGCAGGGACAGGCGCGCGTCTCGGCGGTTCTGGGAAGAGTGAAGCCCAATTCTTGTCTTTCTCGGAATGAGGAACGTTGTTGAACAAGTTGTGGTCTTTCGTGTCGTCACCCCAGAACGGACTGGATGCACCTGGTAACCCGAGGGCTGGAGAGAAATTTTGCGCTGAATCGCGAGCTCTTTTACGATTGGTGAAGAGACGACGTATGACGAAAATCGCAACTGTCAAGACTCCTAATGCTGCAACTGCGCCAGCGACGATTAAAGCGATGGACGAGCCAGACGAATGAGATGATGCCGTCGGTGCATGAGTCGGCGATGCGGAATGAGTCTGGAATGAAGGTGTGGAGCTTGGGATGCTGACAACGATCGGAGAGGTGAGATGATACGCTGAAGATGACATTGGTGGCACATTTCCAAAAGTGGGGATTACGGTCGAGAGCGGGCCCGGGAGAACAGCGCCAGGCGCAGTCGCGTGAATATCCGTGATAGAAAGTACACTCGGGGGAATCAACGAGGCTGAATGCAGTATGGAAGACGGTAAAGATGTAGGCTTTCCTGCAGCAGACGAAGCGGGAGCTGCGAGGGGTGCCTTGCTTGAGGTCGCTGCGTGGCTCGACGTTTGAGGAACTCCCAAGATGGGCAGGGGCGGTGGCGGATTGGAGGCGTGGACGTCGTCCTGTCTTGTTGATGATGCTGTAGGCTGTTCCTTCTTCGTAGTCTTCTCTTCATTTTTGTTGGATTTGGTTTCTGAACGAGCGAAATATTGGGTGGTGTGCCCCGTAGGATGCAGTGTCAATAGCCTAGTCTTGCGCCAAATCTCTGAGCTGTGTCGACCTGGTCGCATGGAGATATAATATAGAAAGATAAAATAGGAACGTAATGATCGTCTGGAGTCGTAAAGTCGTGGGCTTGGATGCCGAACGTCGGGCTGAACGTCGAGCTCAAAGAACAGCGACGCGGTCACGTGCCCTCTTCCGTTCTCTCTCTGGCGTCCATCTCTGCTGCACCTGGTTTCAACGGGCGTTGCTAGACGCGTCAAAGGCGGTCAGTACGACCATCCCAGGCTTCACTGTTCGTTCAAGATCAATCCCTGCACCTTTGTCTTTCCCGAGTTCATTCCGCCTAAGCGTGACGCCGGTCGGTCGAACAACTGAACAAAGACACTCACTGACGCCTTTCCAAGCATTCATTACCGGATCTCTTTCTGGGCGACTTGCACTTGTGACCGAACTGTTTCTTTCCAGAAGTCAACGCATACATACGTGCACAGAGATCAACAGTCAGCGCGTTCCCAGGAGCCAAGATACGCGATGTAATCTTTCCAGAAACCGCGCATGATTTGGAATCCTCAAGAGTTCCTGCTGGAGCCTTCAATGTGGTCAAAAGCTCGGCTATCCTAACCTACCAAATATAGTTAATCTGATAAGACAAGGTTCTCACCGTCAAAGTTATCTACGTTCCCAAAGGAGGTACAAGAGACTTCTATCTCCTACGACTCTCATTAGGAATTCCGCACGGGGAGCCTCTGAAACTCTAGCTGCTGATCTTGCTCACAGTACGATCATGGATCCTACCTGTGGTCTCCGCCGGCGCAGCTACGTGTATGCATTCGAGGAACGTATCCCGTCAACAACCGTTTATCCTCTTCTGGCGGACAGTACCGGCTGTGGATCTCGACTCTGAGGTTCTCTAAACCCCTGAATTGACAGATCGAAGTCTTGTGGTCTCGGGTCCTTGTAACTCCTGCCGACGTAACTTGGGCAACAAACGACAAGTTAGGTCGTATAGCAAGCGAAACTTGGAGTCAGCCTTCCGGACGACCCTGTGATGTCTAGACCTCGCTCGCTGGCTGAGACAATATTCACCGAAACGGCTCTTCATGCAGTCGTGGCTCTGACGGCTGGTGTTCCTCCATCGAGCCCCGTCTTGTAGGCTTTGAATTTGCGGCCAGCTCAGAAGCACCGGATGGTTTGGTGTGCCGAAAACATAATGATATCCAGATTTCATTTCCCCCTTCACTTCAATAACGTGCCAACGCTTCAGCTTTTAGATAATCGCTTCTAAATCTGTCCAAGAATCTGTCACACCCACTTTGGGACAAGAAGTTGTGCACAGCTCTTGGCTGCGCGTCTCCGCAGATTCTACGTCCTCATCGGTGGACACAACGGAGACTGAAATGTATGGGAATCGAAGGCGATTGCGGGAAAACCGCATTGTGCAAGGTTTCAAACTCCGACGATAAAGTCTGCATCTCTGCAGCTTTCCGCTCTAATGCCGATTACTGGGTACTTTCTAGAGAGCTGCTTTGCTGCTGACTTGGGGCGGGCATCCGTATGCTCGTCTTGCGTGGGGTTGTCTACGTCGTTCTTGCGGGGTGGGAGATGAACAGAAGTCTCCATCATATCATCCTCACCTTTCCGGTGTCCAGCGTCCAGCGCTCCGAAATTCAAAGTGCTGTTTGGCCGCAACATCCGCTCAAGATTGGCTTCATTTAATATTGAAGATAATTGCGAAGTGTGTCATTGCAGTGTAGGAGGCGACACTTGCCCGATGATCATACGGCAAGAGAAGACTCGGTTCCGCTAGGATTTTAATGGTTCCATGACTACTCGCTTCTAGTTCCCGAGGAGTAGCACCGCCAAGCCCTCCGTTCTGTCGGAAAGGAAGCCTTTTATGGGAGTTTAACTTATCTAATTAAACGATTTATTCCTGATCGTGAGCCTTCGTGGAAATATGGCACAAGCAACAAACTCGTAATCGACCTATCTTCAGAACCGTGTACAGCGCAGCGTAATCACTAATGAAACACGAGGACCTTGGCGTTGGATATTGTCCACACTGTGAACGTGCTCTTTGATGCTCTTTCTCATGGCGCATTTCTCGAAGCTGACGGAGCTCTCAGTCGTGGGGTGTTCGGCCAAGCTATCTTCTGCA